TCTTGAGTATGCCATGCAGTTCTGGTCACTGGAAAGAGTCCATAGAAGGGCGACAAAGCTAATAGGGGGACAGGAGGACCTCAGTTTAACCTTAAAGAATATGTAAACCCAAAATTTCATATTCTTGATATGTGCCTGCTGTACCATATACTTGTATAAGAAGTATCCCGATGTCTTTGTACTGTTTCCTTTGTGTGAAATCCCTGCTGTTCCTGCCAGTCCCTCTACTTTCATATTAAAAACTGACCACACTAGGCATGTGTTGTCAGTTCTCTAGCTGTGCTGAGAACTCAGTCTGCTCTCCTTTAATGACCAGATGTGTCCTAACACACCCTCATGCACAGCCATTGACTGGGGAGTTCAGTGTAATGCTGTTTCTCCTCCTCTAGTTCCTTATGCAGCTGAGAACAGAGAGTATGTGATCACTTATGAAAAAGAGAAAAAATACAAGGGATTTATAATGTTCTTTTATATCCATACGCAAATGTTTTTTGGGATGTTTTTTCAAGGTGAGGGTTCACATATACTTTAAATTGTGGAAGGAGTTATTTACTGTTCGAGCAGTAAGGATGTATAACTCCCTTCCACAGTTGATGGTGTCATTGGAGAGTATTGATATTTTCAGATAGGCATCTTAGCAAACACAATATACAGAGATATGGGAAATGATAATTACACACATTAACATACGTTAAACTGAATGGACCGGTGTCTTTATTCAACATTTCCAACTATGTAACTATATATTTCAATAAGAAGCTCTACCCTTATTGTGCATGGAGTCCTAGTACAAACCTAGCCCTGTGATCTGGCAATGATGATTACTTTAAACACTGGTAACATTACCAGATGAAAGGGAGTTTTTAAAACAATTTTTATAGCTTTTCAAGGGGTGGAATTGTAAGCTTGAATCAACTTTTAACCCCTAGGTGATGAAGGTTTCTAATTTGCAATTTGAAAACAAATGTGGTTAATAAAATCTAACAACTGGGACAGGATGTCCCAGTAATACACTGCACAAAATAGTAGCGAAACGTTTTGGTTACGCCAGCAAACAGACACTGAACTACTTTCTACAGGGTAAGTGTTGATTTCAAGTTCCTGCATTTAATATTTATGCATTCAGTTAGCAATGGTATCCGCTAATAGGATACAGATAGAGGGGTCTTTGTCCTATTATCTGCTTTGTCTTGTGTGAACTATTATTAATGAACAAGAAGTTCTACCCAGAATATCCTTTTGGTCTTGTATTGTTAAACTGTGCCTGTGATATAATTCTGATTTACAGCCAATACAGAACCTGCTTTCATATCACAGGAATAATAAAGCTACTCGGGCATTTTCTTAGTGCATTGTCAGTGCATTGACTATGTCAGTTTTGGACAATGCTGTTTGAATCTTTTCCTTTTTTGACTAACATTTTCGCCAGAAGTCATGGTTTATAACCGCCTTTCTCAACCTTTTCAAAACAGAGGAACCCTTGAATTAAATTACCGGTATCAGGGAACCCCTGATAAAAATTACTATATCTACAACTCATGATACATTAGTGTGGTAGTCAGAATTCTCCTTACACTTGTGGTCACTGGGAAGAATTACCCCCTTATAGATAGCCAAAAAGATCAATGGTGTCAGTGGGAACCTACCTGAGATGCAAAAATTGCTCATTGCTTAAGGAAACCCTAGCAACCTCTGGAGGAACCCTAGTTGAAAAATCTTGGTCTATAACTTGAGAAGCTTACTTCACAACTATGGTAGTTAACCTGTCGTACAAATGTTACTAATATTTTGATGGAGTTCAACTCTCTATTATTGATTAACTGTATTGGGTGTCCAGAATTCTATCCAACTATTCTATTCCTCCTGTAGATCATAGGTCATACTCTATATTAAATGTACATTCTTATTGCTGCCCCATGGCATTCCCCAGTTGGAGAGCATTTATAGCACATTTGATATAAGGAACAGAACTACAAAATAACTTATGATCAGTTAAGATGAGAGTATATCTAATCTATAACCAAGAACAAAAATTCATAGTATTGCTACTTACCAGTTGTTAGATATGTTGGCTGCATTAGTTTTGCTTTTTTTTAACCCATTTTCCCTTTATTTTACCATGGTAATCCTGCCATTAGCTCACTTCCTCCCCTAAGGTAACAATCATATTAAGCATGGTTGTCACCCTAGGACAGAAAATGTGTTTGGACTACATAATACCTCCATCCATCTCTTCTCCATAATAGGAGGAGGTGTTTTGTAGTCCATGGGGATAGTAGGGAACAATGCTACCTGATAACAGTCCAGAAGCAAAGTGCAAAGGGAACGATCAACTCACGTTTTCTGGCTAACAAATAGTTCTTGGTTTTTTTCCCCCAGGTTTTTTTTTTGCACTTGAACAGATATAATAAAATGCTTTCAATGTTAAATGTAACAGTTCAAAGGGAGCAAATAAGAGAAATATATTGTTAGAATTTACAAACATGTTAATGATTTATGCATTTGTTTGCAAGGGCTCATTGCTGCCTTGAAAAATGTGGCCATAACAGTTTTGTTTAATGCAATACCTTTATGCCAACAGATATCTAAACTAATTTACTTTATGGTGATTCCATCATTAGTGTATCTCTCATGTGTTCAAGGAAAAGACTGTGCTGGTAAAAACAAAATGTAAGTATGTGAGCTAGCGAGCACACCGTATAAGCAGCTGATGCACTAAAAAGGAACCACAAAGCCTTTCTTATATATACAACATAAAATTGGGAGTGCAGTGCTATAAAAAATGAATAAATAAATATATACGGTGTATACAGTTAACCAGATATAAATACTATGCAATAGAGTCCTATAAACTGAATGGTAAACAGTCCAAGGTAATAAATATGACTTCAGTCAAAACGAGTGTATTCCAGTATCCCGACATGGAGGTATAGAAAGATTGCCCACTCACCGGAAGCGCAATCTTAATGCGCGTATAGAGATCTCATGTAGCCGAAGGTCCTGTGAAAGTATAGCCTGGTAATGGGAGTATCCTCTGGTGGTCGCTCAGATGGCAGGTGCCGGAGATAATGATCTGGTCTGACACTCTTACTACTCCAGCCTGGACAGGTACTTGGAATACTGGGCTGAGGTGTGGAGGCTCAGTGCCAAGTAGTAAAGATAAAAGTGCTCATAGTGTAGTGTTGTAAAGATTTATTTAGATAAAAATTAATGAAGTAACAATATGAGCATAAACGCACAGGGTGATTATGAGTAATAATAAGCTCCTGAATACATTGACCATTGGAAACCATGGGGTGGCCGCCGGACCTCTTGATCCGGCGGCGTGACGTCAAGGCGTGCAAGGGCTCCTCCTAGATGCGTTTTGTGTAATGACACGTGATGCATCACCCCTACAGCAGACGTGTCATTACATGAAACACGTCTAGGAGGAGCCCTTGCACGCCTTGATGTCACGCCGCCGGATCAGGAGGTCCGGCGGCCATCCCATGGTTCCACTGGTCAGTGTATTCAGGAGCTTATTATTACTCATAATCCCCCTGTGCGTTTATGCTCATATTGTTACTTCATTAATTTTGATCTAAATAAATCTTTTACAACACTACACTATGAGCACTTTTATCTTTTGACTGAAGTCGATATTTATTACCTTGGACTGTTTACCATTCAGTTTATAGGACTCTATTGCATAGTATTTATATCTGGTTAACTGTATACACTGTATGTATTTATTTATTCATTTTTCATAGCGCTGCACTCCACATTTTATGTGGTCAAAAAAAAAGATAAAAATGGTTTACATACAATGATATAGGTTTCTAAGGAGAGTTTTGTTTTTCTATTGACTGCAATGGTGCGTAGATCATATTATTGAGGAACCATGACACAAATATTGCTACTAGAATGCGAAGTACAGTATATGTATATATATCTGCCTGGAGGTTGCATGCTCTCCCTGTGCCTGCTTGGGTTTCCTCTGGGTACTCCATTTTCCTGCCACATACCAAAGACAAGCTGGTAGGTTGATTGGCCCTACTATGTGCATGTAGAAAAGTGAGCTGTCGACTTTAGATTGTAAGCTCCTTGAATGCAGGGACTGATGTGAATGTACAATATATATGGAAAGTGCGGCGTAAATTGACAGCACTTTATACAGTAAGTACCTGTAATAAATAAAGTATGTGTGTATATGTGTGTGTGTGTGTAATTTGATAGCACACCCTAGTGGTTTTTTTTTTTCAGAGACCAAATTCAGTTTGCAATGTATAACATGAATTATAAACAGGAAAATCCCACAGCCCTTATTAGTATTTCTTACAGGTATTTATATACAGCAGTTCCACCAACTTATGCAGTGCTTTACATACTACACAATCACATCAGACCTTAATAGTTCAAGGCAGAAATGCTAATCACTAAGCCACTGTGCTATTTGCAATAATGTTAGGACAGATGACATCCTTTGACAGAAAAGGTGAAATAATTGGGGTCATTTTTCAGTTTAGGAAATAGAACCTGACACTCACACTAGGTTATGTTGCTAGTAAACTTGCAAACACATATATTGTTAGACTGACCCTTTTTATACTTGGCAGTAAAATTGACACAAGTGTTGACATTTTCCACTCTGAAAATTCCCTAGTGTGTACTGATGATTTATATATTTTTAAATAAATTTTATAAAACATTATTTTACAAATAAACATTGAAAAATATATTTAATGGCAGAAGCTGGTTTATGAACCTATAGGTATTTACTTTCTAGTAGTTAAAAGTAGTAAATATGGTAAGTAAAAGGAAACATGTATCCCCATTTTTATAATTATAAGAAAACATATGAAATAATTACTTTTTTTTCCTAGATTCTATTTAGTTAGAAGTTTTCCCTGCTCACTTGAAGCCAGTAGGCAAAGATGATTGAAGAAACCCTTTCCGCATTTAATGGAAATAACACCATCAACAGCCCAATAATGTCTGGTTTATCCAACCACACACTGGAAATGCTGCAAAGTAAAATGCTTCAAAATGTCTTACCAGCAATATACTTATTCATCTTCCTGGTCAGCACTCCACTAAATGTAACCAGTCTGTGGATTTTCTGTCGGAGTAAATCGAAGAATCCAACAATGGTGTTTATGATCAGTCTTACTGCAAACGATTTGGCCTACAGCTTGACCCTCCCGTTCCTGGCTGCTTATCACCTAAGAGGAAATAACTGGCCATTTGGAGACATCTTCTGCTCTCTAACAACTATAATGTTCTATGCAAATGTGAACTGCTCCATTCTAACAATGATGTGTATCAGTGTGGAGCGCTATGTGGGAATTGTGCATCCGCTGCGTTTTCAAAACTGTATGAACATCAGAAAGGCTTTTATTATATGCTTGTTGATCTGGTTGCTAGTTTTATCAATTGACGTACCTTTACTGTATACTAGGATGACATTCTATGTGCATGAACTAAACATACTTACTTGCTTTGATATTTTACCTAAAAATATGTTTTCTTCTCTTGTGCCTTTCTATTTGTATTTTGCATGCCGCTTTCTAGCATTCTTTGTTATTCCCATAGTAACTATGGTGGTTTGTTACTTGTCAATCATTGTGACTCTTCTGCGTTCATATATCCAGCAATCTGCTGTGCCCAAGAAGCAGACAATTTATACAATAGTAGTGTTGCTGTTAGTACTGTTTATATGTTTTGTGCCAAATAATGTGATTCTTATCACTCATTCGCTTCCATCAGCCAAACAGAACAACCTATATGTGGCCTACAAGCTTTCCCTAGCTTTGAGTGGTCTCAATTGCTGTTTGGATCCCTTTGTTTATTACTTTGGATCCAAAGAATTTCGACAGAATGTGAAGAGTAAAATTTATTCTCTTTTTCATAAAAACAAAGCAGACCGAAACATGAAAAACCCACACAAGTGAGGGTATAATTACTTTATCTTAAAGTAGACACAGCTTTACTGTTTGTCTACTTTATCTAAAAGCAGACACAAACCCTAACTGGGAGGAAAACCCTATTGTAATTATAAATGATATGGGCTAATCAAATGTATTTTTGAAGTTAGGAACTCCTTCTTTCTGATTAGCACATATCATTTTTATTTAAAAAATTATGCTTCGGCTGTCTTTAAAATATTCCAAACATAAACAAAAGGAACAAATTAACCACTTGCCTACCGGGCACTTATAACCCCTTCGTGCCCACGCCAATTTTCAGCTTTTAGCGCTGTCGCACTTTGAATGACAATTGCGCAGTCGTGCGACATTGTACCCATATGAAATTTTTATCATATTTAATTGGCACTGGGCTTTTTATTTTTTGCACTATAAACAAAAAAGAGCAAACAATTTGAAAAAAAATTTGATTTACTTTTGATATGCAGCAATGATGAGCACTGATAGGCGGACGCAGGAGGGTGCATTCTGGGAGGATGTCCTATGACGCCATCTCAGAACTGGATAACTGTGCTGTAGCCATCATTCGGCTATATAGTGCGGTTACCAAGTGGTTAGATAAGAAAATCAAACACAAAATAAGACACATCTGTTAAACTAGTACAAAAATAGCTTGGCTATACTATTTAAAGGTTCCTATTATTAGACAGCTTGTGTGACATTGTATTAGGCCTTCTATAGAAGATATGGCTGAAATTGATTTAAAAAAAACATTTTAACTTTTGTGGTTTTAGTGCTAATAGTTTAATTTAATAAAGGTATAAATATGCTATTTTATACTAGTTTGTACATGTAAATTTACATTCAGAAAATTCTAGAGGATGGCTAAAGCTTTACATAGTAATGCCCTGTTTGATATTTAATTTGCTAAAGCATTGTGTTTATTAAGAAACGACATTTTTGTTTTATACATTATTTTTATTTACCTTTTCTTAATCATTTGTTGCATTTAAGTGCTGATGATCTCCCATGGCTTGTTTGCAGTCAATTCCTGTCTATTTGCATGCACTCCAACGATCGCTGCCAACATATGTCCCTCATTTGGAACAAAGTCCCTCTGTCCATCTTTCTTCATTTGTCCCTCATTTTGGTTGGATCTATATAATTGTACATAAAATGTACTATTTATCTATTAAACCACTTCCCGACTGGCCGTTGCATATAAACGGCCGGACGGTGGCGCTGCATGGTCGGGTGGCCGTTTATGAACGGCCTCCCCGCACCCTGCTTGTGCGTGCTCCCTGGGAGCGCGCAGCGCAGCACCGCGATCCGGTGCCCGCTGTGTCCTCCGGACACAGTGAAACACACGATCGTCGGACGGGACCTCTGTACGAGGTCCCGATCATGTGATCACTGATTGGCCAATCAGTGATCACATGCAAAGTAGTAAGGAAGATGTCACTTCTGACATCACTGCTTACTACGTGTGAAATCTGTGAATGATCACAGAGGTCACATGGTACAAGGCTATTCACAACAGCCTTGTACCATGTTACAAGCTGTGACCAATCACAGCTCACTCAATACTTCTCAATGAGTGCAGGAATGCACACAGAGAGAAAGAGAAATGATTGCTTTTACATCCTATATGGGTGTAAAAGCAATCAGTGTAAAAAAAAAAAAAAAATCTTCATCACCCCCCACAAGTAGTACAGTGTCACCATGGTGACACTGTACTGCTAGGGTGACAGTATGTAAAAAAAAAAAAATAAATAATAATATAAAAAAAATAAAATAAAAATGTAAAAAAAAAATGTTTAAAAATTATAATTTTTGGTTATAAACTAATTTTTTATTTTTTTTTTTTACTAAAAAGACAACGGAATAAATTTTGGCAAAGATTTATGATGAAATATTATTTATTTGCAAAATTGTATAAAAAAAAACACTTTTGTTCAAAATTTTTGGACTTTTTCATTTACATAGCAAAAAAAATAAAAATCCCAGCGGTGAATAAATACCACCAAAATAAAAAGCTTTATCTGTCTCAAAAAAATGGTAAAAAAATTAATTTGGGTACAGTGTTGCATGACTGCGCAATTGTCATTCAAAGTGTGATAGCGCTGAAAGCTGAAAATTGCCCTGGTCAGGAAGGGGGTAAAAGTGTCCGGTCTGGAAGTGGTTAAAAGTGTTTTACAGAGACAAACCTTACATCCAATTCCTTACTGGCTTCAATTCCAAAAGCCAATATAAAGGAATACTAACGGTAAACAAATAGCACTTGTGGGTTTAATAATCATTTTTTTTTGTATAATTCTCTGTTAAGGGGGGAGTAGCAGGGGGTGTGTCCAATGCCTACATACGTTTTCTAAAACGTAGGTTGGTAAACTTCTCTAAATGTTGGGAGGTATTTGTATATAGAAACAGCAACTTGTAGCCTCCATCTAAAGCCAGTGTGACAAAACAGATCAATTGAGACACACAGACAGAGCTGTGTCACCCTATAACAGGAAGTACTAGAACAAGGAGGGTTATGGCAGGATCAGCAGGTAATATAAAGCATAACTGTCACAGCTGCCCCCCCCCCCCCCCCCCCTCAGCCCCTTGCTCTGTCCCTGCTCTCTCTCTCCTGTCTCTCATCCCGTGCCCTCCCCCCCCCCCCTTCCTGCAGATGAAAGGCATTCCTAAAGGCAAGCTGGAGCCACGCTACCTCCGGCCCCCCCCGGTTGCCTAGGTGACTAGGGGGGCCCCACCAGTTTTAAGAAGCTGATGCCAGGGCTCCCGAGGTATTCACCGCTGTGTAGCTTAAGGAAGGAGCCCGGGCTGCAGCCAGGACCTTTTCGTGGCCAGGCTCGGCAGAGGCCCAAGGCTGCCTAGGATCCCCCTTCTCCCAGAGCTGGGGAAGACTGTCTGCGAGACTCCAGAGATCCGTGAGTACATGCTCTCTGCCTGCTTCACTTGAACTTTTCTTGTGCTGACCTCACACCAACTTCCCCTGTTGGATTACTTGCTACAGAGACTCACACCCAAACTCCCTGTTGGATTACTTGCTACAGAGACTCTCACTTGGCTCTCGGTGTTGGACTTTAAGTGTATTGGTCCTTCCGTGTCGTCCTGGACTGGCGTATTCACCCTCCCTGCGAACTCCCCTATTCGGTGACTGTCATCTATCTCAATAAAGCTTTGTGAGTTTGCCACCTACTCTTGTGTGTTCTGTCCTGCCTATGCTCCATCACAATAACTAAAGGCAAAACGTTTTGGAAAGGGAGTATCAGTTTGTATTGCTGTCTGTCCCCCCATAAGGGAGGTTCACCCTCTCTATTTGTCCTGTTTACTGTTATCATCGAAAGTAAAAATAAAGAAAAACCCCAAATTTTTGGGTTGTCCCCAGAAAAGCAATAGAGGGGATATTTCCCAATGGGACACCTGGGCGTCCCCAAGGAATTCCCCTAATTTATAGGGATTCATCTCACTTCCTGTTTTGGCTATGGGACAGGAAGGGAAGGCAAATGGGACACAGATGGCAAAAAATAAACTGACAGAGGGTATAACCCTCCCTTACTCTATTCAAAATGAAAATAAAAGTTTTGCCTATAGTTCTACTTATGCTTGGGGTCACACTGATGCGGTGCGGCACATTGCATGTGATTCGCACAAGAACTGCACTGCATTCCTGTGCATATCACATGATTTCTGTGCAGTGAAATTTGAGCCATACATTTTGTATAGCTCAGATCAAAACTGCATCTGCACCAAAATAGCACCTACAGTTTTTGTAGCTGCTGACTTTTAATAAACACAGCTGGAATTCCGCATTAAAGATGTTATAAAATTTCAGGGTTTACATATACATTAAATAACTACTAAAATATACTACTGATATATAATATCATGTATTATAATACAAATGTAATACAAAAATATATACTATAATTGGCCTTATGAAAAAAAAAAAAGATTCAGAATACATGGATAATTATGTAAATTATTTAGAAAAATTAAGAACCAAAATATTTAAAATTGAATTTCAGGCAAACATTATAATCTTGGGATCACAGTTAAATGCCTCACATATGGTAGTTTTTTTTTTAATGTATCTTACTTCACGGCCTCATCATGCACACAGGGCATTTTTGCAGCCACTTTTAGGGGCCATAGGAGTTTTGTTCTTTTACTGCTTGTAAACGGTTCTCCATGTTATCCTATGTGTCCATGCACACGTAGACTTTTAGGAGCTTTTAATGGCAGGAGCATTTACAGGCAGGAAAAAACCCCAGGATCAGTGCGTCCAGGAGCAACAGCATTTTGGCATAAAAAACATGACGCATGTAAATGTGTGTTAACACTAGGTGGTTTAACACTTTAGTGGCAATTAATACCAATGGCCAGAATAAATTACTATTCTGGCCAATTAAATGAATTAATTATTATTAGGATCATTATTATTATTAATAATAAATGTAAATACGTCTAAGCTCTTGTAAAAGTGTTGATACTTTTACAAGCGTCAGGTGTTTTTTTCTGCAAAACGCTGCTGCCACGAGGAAGGCTTCTAGAAGAGTTTTTTTTTTTAAACGTCCTGTGTGCATGAGGCCCTAATAGGTGAATAACAGGTAAAAATACACAGTTATGAGGACAACTCTATGCTGACCTACTTTAAAAATACCATAAGAGCAGATTCAGATATGAATACTAACTGTGTATAAAAAAAAAATTTAAATTTTTTTGTCTCTTTACCATATTGAGGTTTTCTCTCTAGTATTTGCCCAAAGTTCTGCTTTGAAATTGTCAGGGACCACGGCTCCAGGGTCCGCGATCGCGGCTCCGTCCCTCGCGCATGCGCAGTGGCGGCGGATCGCGCCGGGACACGGGCACTAGGTCCCGGCGAGCCGCGGCTGACAGGACGCCGCGCACATGCGCAGTAGGAGCCGTGGGCGCGCCTCAGGCGTCCAATGACAGCCAGGGGCGCGTCCTAGCCCGGCCAATGACAGTGCAGGGCGCACTATTTAAAGATGCCCTGCACTGTC